GTCCAATCCGTTCGTACGCAGTTTAGCCCGTTTTCGAGAACGGTGTGAGAACTAGTTTGATGTGATAGTAGGGTGATGTTATTATGAACTAGCACACCAAGAGACCCAAACACCAATACAATACTATAAGTAATGTACAGGTACTGTAAAACGCATATTCATACGCTTGATTAATTGTTTCGGTCTATTGCTTCAATTCATCAGTCATGCTGGGCATCTCCCTTAGACAAAACAAGAATTTTGCAAATTGTGGGAAATATCAATTTCACTGATTTGCATATAATATTTATAATATGTAGAATACGTAGGTGAATACATTTAAACAAAACATGACATATTTCAGAGAGTTATTTATAGTTCGTTCCGCAACGTTTGCATTAGAAAGACAACAGGTAGTCTGAGGTAGTCTTAATTCTAAAGTTCTAAGGTGTGTGGGGGTGTTCAGGGGCAAGATCAATCTTGTAGGAATTTCGCCTTTTTCTGTTGTTGTTTTATACACGTCATTGCCAAATTGATTTTCAATCATGAACAGCGTTATTACTTGAAATCTCAGACAATCAGCTCAAATGTCAGGATGACATCTGAGACTCCAGTATGAAGATAATTACTTATTAAGAACGTCACGTTTCGTTTCATCCGCTATAGAGGCGGATCTTTATCTTATATCGTACTAGTACTTATTTCACATTTTGATTCAGGATCTGCGTGCGAGTGTTACGCGGAATATGTCATATGTTTATGGTTGCACGGTATTTGCGATACAAGTGAATATGCCATACTCATCTGCGGAATATGTGATACTCACATGCGGAGATAATGAACGAGATAATCTACTCTAAATGTAAAACTAAGCTGGACTTATCTGGTATTGTTGGCATCGTTTACATTCACTGGTCTGTAACAAAATTAGTCATATGTTTATAGTTATTTTGAAATCAAGATCTTGTTAGAACATAAGGTACACTAACCCTACTATCACACCAAACTAGTTCTCACTACGTTCTCGAAAACGGGCTTCAACTGTGTACGAACGGACTGGACCTACTAAGAACCGTTTGGGATCTATTTACAAACTTCATCGAACGTACTCGAACGGGTAGGTCCTCTAGAACTTAGACAATGCTCAAAATTTTCTCGTGGTCGTCACGTTCTACAATTAGAACGAGTGACAACGTACTAACGACGAGCTGGACGTACTACGAACGGAGCCGTCGTACTTCAATCCTACTAGGGACGTTTTAACAACGAGTTGAACTGTCTGAGGACGTGTTGAGAACGAGGTAGAACTTATTGCAAACGGGTTTAAACTGATTAAGAACGTATTTAACACTGCTTATGAACGAGTTAGCAAAAATATAGCTATCACACCAAACAAGTTGCGACTGCGTTCTTCAAAACTGGTTTTAAACTGTGTGCGAACGGAATGAACGTAGCTGCAACTTTCTAAGGTCTATTTACGAACTTTATGAACGTTCTCAGACGGGAATGTGATTTTAGAATTTTGAATCGATTTAAAATTCGATGGCGACCATACCGCTCTGTAATCAGGTCATGTTGACCTTCTAGACTAAGGGACGCGTTCTACGACGTTGCACACCGACGTGATGCGACCTGAACGAACTGCGAACGAGATGGACGTATTGAAGACTGTTTAAGAACGAAGAAGCTAATTATTTCAGACATATTTCCCGACCACAGCCAGATTGAGCCCGTTTTACGACGTTTTCGTAGGACTAGCAAGAACGGGTAAGAACTACATGTAGTTTGGTGTGATAGGGGGGTTATAAACATTTTGAATTGTTGACATGTTTGCCGAGTATGTATTATCATAAAAATAATCATTAAAAATATTTTAAGAATTTTGGAACATTATGACATGTACTGGTTGACCAGATTCATACACCAATTTTTAAGAAATTCGAATAGATGGCGGGAACAGCAGGTATTAAATCGTTTTCAATTCTCTTTTATCACTGGTCATCTTGATTCACAAGGTTTCGATTGTGCCTACCTCACCTTGATAAATCTGCCCGATTTGACCGACCACTGTGGAAATAAACCCCAGCTGAGTTCACTCTCAATATTGCTCCTCCTGGCAGTTGCCCGCAGAGTTTTGCGAGACGCCACAAAACCAATCGGCCAATCAACATACATACGTTCAATGTTTTGTCACGCGACGAAGTGGAGCGTTCTGATTGGGTCCGTGGACTTAACAACGGGCCATGCACCGCCACATATGAATGGGAGAAACAAATTGACCTTTTATGCCACGGGGTCTCTCGACCCAGTGGAAAGCGACGATGATCACTGGTAGGGGACACGTTGCTCTTGAACATGGT